CCTACCACACGGGCGCCCGCAGCATAGGCAGGCCCGTCACGCCGGGGACTGCGGCGGGCGTGCCTACCACTCAGGCGCCCGCCCAAACCCGACCCTTGAGTCCTCGATCTCGATGGACTTTACTCGACCTGCGGCCGGCTAGAGCTGGCTACTTCCCACTAAATGGCAGTGATCGATTTGTTCCACAATATGGTAACAATTAGTTTATTTTACAGTTAAAAATAAGAACATCACAGTCCAGACACAGGTGTCCTGAATTTTAAGTTAAATTACGAGAGGGGCTTTTGTACACTAATTTCTGACAAAATTGATTATGTGTTGTAAACAATAGAAGCGAGACACAACAAATAGTGTGATTAATAACCTAATTTTTCTTAGAAAAATAAAATGTTGACAATAGGACTAAATCACAGGTACACAGCAATACAAACTTGATCTTTACCAGAAACCTCAAAAAAGAAATCTTCCAATCAAGATTAAAATATACTTCATCAATTCTATAAACTATACGTCCTTCCAAAATTCATTATAAAAATGTATTGCTCTATAAATTCAATAGTCATGTCAAAATGAGAATCTTACTGACTTAATTGAACCAAAACACAAAGAGAAAGAGATAATGTCTTCAAATGAAGAAAGTTGTAAATTATCTCTGATAACGCATAAATCAGAATGTCAGTTTACACCACTTTGTTTTTACAATTGTTTTACCTCTCCACTGCAATGAGCACAACAGACAAATTTGGGATTTTGAGGGAACATATGTGATCCTCCAAGTGCAAGTGCTGCCCCCATTACAGCATTACAGGCTGCATCCGGGCCTCCAGACAAGAGTGCTGTAATTGGTTGCTGCAGTAACTGAAACGAAAAGGAGATGGGGGGGGGGGGAATCATTAATACCATAGATAGATTAACTATCAGGGTTGGGATAGAGAATTAAATTGAGCCTTATAGAGCCACATCATTTGACACATCTCTGATGTCATGTTGATACATATAGCAGCTCACAAGGGAAGGTTTTCCGGTGATACACTCAGATTTCAATGGCGCTTCAAAGTGTTTTTGTTTTCATCCCTAGATTAGGATTTGCATTGGTTTTAGCTGCCCGTAGGGGGTTTGAAGGTCGATTTACGCGAATTTAATTGAAAATTCGCCAAAGTTTTTAGCCTGATTATCAACTTTACATGCACGTATCTCAAGAACCGTTTGAGCTACAGCGCCCAGATTTTGAGGGAAATGATAATTTAGCATGTTCTTTACTTGTAGAAAATTTGAACGAAATCGATTAGGGTCGCAAAAACGGGTCCGGAGAGGGGGTTGCGACCCTAGGCCCCTTTTGGTGAACCCCATTGATTCGGTTCAAATATTTTTTATGGAAAGTACTAATTGAAAGATAATTACCTGCAAAATCTGGGCGCTGTAGCTCAAACGGTTTCGGAGATATGTGCATGCAAAGATGGCAAAAAACCGATGAATTTGTCAAATTTTTGATGAAATTCTTGTGAAATGACCCCCAAACTCCCTACGGGCAGCTAAAACCAGTGCCAATCCTAATCTAGAGGTGCAAACAACTACTCTTTAAAGCGCCTTTGAAATCTGACTGTATCACCGAAAAACCTTCCCTTGTCAGTCAAGCAGGTGAAAAACATAAACATTTTATTTTGCTCTTATCTGTTAGTTTTACATATGCAGAAAATATGGTCTAACAGAATTTTGAATCAATTTGGCTCTGTAAGGGTCAATTTAATTTCTCTATGCTAACCCTGATCAAGATACATTGTACAGTGGGTCCCATAGACCCATACCTCTGTTTGATTATACTGTATCGTTTACAGGGGCGGGCTTGCCTATCGTCGCTCACCGTGGGCGTGGGGCCCTATGGCGCCGAGCAAGTAGACAACCCGCTCACAGGCCTGCATGCGGTACAGTATAACCAGAAGAAAGTATGGGCTGTAAGGGAAATCCTGTAAAAGTCTAAGCAAACATGTACAGTGAAAAGACTAGGTTGTCTTACCTGTAAGGCAACTTTTTCGGTGGGAGAGTGTTGGTCAAGACTTTGGTAGTCAAGAGAGAATTTAGCTACTTTATCAATAGCACTACCAAGCAGCTGAGTGGTGACCACATCACACAGCTTTTGGTTAGCTATAGTAAGATCAGCAATACTGCTTGTGGTTAAGTTTCGACGCGAGGCATTTCGAGGACCACCCAAAGCTGAGACCATGTCAAAGTTCTCTCTTAAGACGGATAGTTTTCTGAAAAAATTAAAATCATAATTTTAATTATCGTAATTTTAATAAACTGTGAAAGGAACTAAGAATATCCAGGTACAAACTGAACACACCTGTGACAATCTATGAGAGCAGTTCGTATTTTACATCTTTCTTCAAATAAGCGCTGCACAGATTCCTGTAGGTCAATTGCTTTCTGACTCAATGCAGCTTTCCACCGGGCAAGTTCTTCTACCATTAAACTAAAATAGAACACACACCAAGAAAAAAAAATTAGATAGAGAAGAGAAAACTGAGCATTCCGCCATCTACTACAAAAAAACTAGGTACTATGTATGTAATACCTGCTAGCGAGAAATTTGCTTCTCCAAACTTCACATTGGCCAGCCAACCATTCAGTTTGCTCCTGATGAGTTGATAAACTTTGAGCTGATGTAAGCAAAGCCCTTGCAAGATGAACTTTATCTTCTGTCAAATGATTTACTCTTGTTTCAATATCTTCACCGACTGCAGCAACAAGCAACTTTTTGAGCTCACCATTCACCTGGGCTTGTAATTTCAACTGATTTTCTAGCTGGCTGTTGTCATCCTTGAGCTGTTGGATTTCAGCTTCCATAGACTTCTTCTCTTCTTCCCACTCTTTACTGGAAACAGCACCGACAGCCTCATCCCTACTACAAATTGCTGGCTTACAAACTGCTTCATCCTTTTCTAAATCTGATTCCAATGTAGATAAGCTTTCAATAGGTTCTTTGCAGTTGGGAACAGTAGTCCTGGAAGCAGTTGATGCATTGAAAGATTTTCTTGAGCCTTTGTGCCTGGGAATAGGTACAATTGGGTTGACTGCAGCTTTATATGGTTCATACGGAATGAATTTGGGTTCCTTTGTCTTGAATCCCACACCACTCAATTTGTCTTTCTTTAAGTGAACTATATTGTTTGATGTCAGACTAACCATCCTCCCAGGAGGTAATATGGGGGGAGGTATGCTTCTCAAGCTCACCCCTGAGGGACGGTACAAAAAATCATCAACCTGTGAAAGACAGTAGCCTCTTTAGTATCCATTTCCTATCTCACAAACAATAAATAATTTGTGAACAAACATATGGTTGGCATACCAAAAGTTTTTTGGGTGTTTTTGAGAAAGTGCTGGGTTGAGCTTCAGCTTTCTGTTGCATGTCGATCACATTTTCCATACCATCGCCTTGAGTTCGGTGCGGTGAAGGAATAATGGTTTTCATGGTTTTAGCTGGAAATTTTCCAAAAAGGATTATTGACAAAAACAAAATACTTAAAACAAGCATTAATGACAGCCAACAAGACAATGACAGCTTCACATTTTTCAAGCAAGTAACAGCTTAAGGATATTATGCAATGAATAATGCACAATGAAGCCCCATAAGTAGGACTTACCAGTTAAAATCTCCATTGTGTTCATCTAAAACGAACGAAAACCTAACCTGTACTACAGGAGTAGGTTTGACAGATGTATTGGGGAAGTGTGGCCTAAAGGAAGTGGCAATCACTTTGACTGTTAGATATTGATAATGAACGGATAATCATGAATAGGTAGAAAGTTTTAAACCAAGATTAATCAATAAACAATAAAAATAAAAACTTGTGCCACATCCTAGCATCTAAATTTCTTCGCCTCATTCAGCGCCTTCTTGAAGAAGATGACAGCTGTGAACGTAGCTCAAACGTGAACGTGACGTGAGCGAGCCCGAGCGTGAGGAGAGATCGAGCCAGCAAAAGTGAGAAAATAAACATTGTGGATCTAGATTCCTTCTGGAAAGAGAAAAATGGCATCAGGATCCGCATCAGGATCAGGAGGCGTAAGTTTTTGTTCTTGCTTAGGACATATTGCATGAGGCTAAACGAGGGTTATATTCAGAAACGACAGGGTTTTTTGACATTTTGTTCCCCCAATCTTTCAAAGCCTAACCTTTCTTAACGCTAAAACACTAAACATGAATTTATTATCTTACTTTCGAGCATTAGAACTTAATTAAAGCGAGCAGACGCTCCTGTTCCTTCTCTTCATCCAGTAATCAGTTTTGTTTCCATCGTTTAAATTGCTCAGCTCTGGGTTGTCTTGTCATCGTACCTTCCTATTGATTGTTTTCATCAAAATACTCATCATTTCTCTTTCCAGGCTTCGGACGCTGGAATCGAGGACCATCGCAGAAAATGGGACAAAGAAGAATACGAAAAGTTAGCAGAAGAGCGGCTTCTGGAAGAGTTAGAAGCGCTAGAACAATCAAAACAGAAACCAGCTCCCGTCACCAGAGAATTATTGCGTCAAAGAGACTACCGTGTAGATCTTGAGGGAAAGCTTGGGAAGAGTGTAGTCATTACTAAAAACACACCTTCATCTCAAACAGGAGGGTATGTACCTTTTCAAGCATATTGTATGTACTTGTACTACTCATTGAATTTCCATCTCTTATATTATTCGGTGTTTCAGGTACTATTGTAATGTCTGCGACTGTGTTGTAAAAGATTCAATTAATTTCCTAGATCATATCAATGGAAAGAAACGTAAGTAGCATTTTTCTCCTGGTGTGTTTCATGCTTTTATTCATTGTTTAGAACTATTAATAGCTGGTTGTTGTATCTATAATTTTTAGATCAAAGAAACTTGGGCATGTCAATGCGCATTGAACGATCATCATTAGACCAAGTTAAGAAGCGCTTTGAACTCAACAAGAGAAAATTGGAGGAAAGGAAGAAGGACTATGATCTCGAGCAGAGAATGAAGGAAATGAGAGAAGAGGTGAGACCTTCCCTAGAACAAGATTCAAAGCAAGAAAATGTTGAAGTGTTGTTGTACTTAATAGTTTTCGTTCCTTTTTTCTAATTTTAGGAGGACAAGCTGAAAGAGTACAGGAAGGAACGGAAGAAGGAAAAGAAGAGGAAAGTAGATGATGATATTGACCAAGACCAATCAGAGGGACAATCTGAATTGGCTGCTATTATGGGTTTTTCTGGATTCGGCGGCTCGAAGAAGTGATGTGCATTAATCTTGATGTAATCTTCTCCTTTATGTTAAAAACCTTTTCCTTTAACTATCAATCAAATTATGTATGGACCATGTAAGATTTTTCACAGTGCATAAAGATTTATTTTAGTCTTCATGTACAAGCAATATAACATTTCTTTACTGCATTCCTTGCTCTGGACTGGCTGTCATGCAGCCATTAACTATAGCTCAAAAGAGCATCTGTACAATATAAGGAGTAGAAGCATGCCACCCGTCACGCTTCTACCCTACTAACATCACCACCAGCAACATCATAATATTGGTTTGCTACGTAAAGCCACAAGAGATTATTGATCCATTATGGCATTGCAATAAACAAACATTATCATCAAAATACAAATTGAAGAATGAACCAAAGATTGTATGATCAATCTGGTTAACAAATTCATTTCACCATTAACCCTGACCTTAATGTCGCCCAACTCAACTGCAGTGAACAACTACAGCATAACAATATGCCTAATTACCTCAACACATTTCTCTCATCAAAGCTACATTTGTAGAACATACATTTTTAAAAAAGTTCCTGGGATACATTACAACTGAGGACCAACAGTTCCCATCACTAACAGGAAAATAAAAGGAAAGTATTACCGACACATGACTACAAGATATGAATGAAAGATTGAAACCTGCAGTCACTGCACTGTAAAGATACTTATGGTACTAGTACAAGCATTTATCAAACCCACAAAGACATAGGCAATATTTTAAAGAGAAAGTTTAAGAGTCACAATGCTTCCTAATTCAATCTTAGATCTAAACACCTTCTCTACGGGTTTAATAATGCCACATTGGGTACTTAATCCAAGTCTTAGGTAAAGAGTATGTGCCAACTGCACAGTTGACATCAGATTCACTGATTGATTAAAGGATCTGCACAAAAGCGAGTGCAGTTAAAGAATTCATGGATGATTGGGTATCACTACCAAACTGACATGATTGCTCACGAAGCTCAAGTAAGAACAGCTCTATGACCGAAATTAAAAGCCATATTCTAGAAAAAAATCATAAAGAAAACACAATTGATTTCTATTGGTTCAGTATCCTTGCGCTATTCTTCATAATAAAATCCCAAGAACGAAGACACCTTGAACTACTAATGGCTCCACTTATTTGTCCATCCCTGGAACAAAACAAAATAGTGATTAATATTGGAATAAATCAAAGAAGGCTGAGAAAGAAAAAGAACTGATAAAGTGATGAAGTTTGGGAAACTTACATGTTGTTTGTCATTGAGTTCAGGCATGCCTAACCTATTGGTACCGTCCCAGCTGGAAGGGTCCAACTTCATGGTGTCATGACCGAGGTCAGTGCCGAATGATCCTGCACCGGCACCGCTGTAGGGAGTCATCATCGGGATGTTGTGGTGTAGCGCCGAGAGTGCCGCGGCGGCGGCGGCTGCGGTATTGCCTCCGTTATGGAACTGGTTGTCCATACCCAGCTTAAAAATAAAGA